AAATGACTGTAAATTATTATACAAATTTTATTTGTAGTACGGATTGACATGAACGTGTATAATTGTGTACAACTTTGAAAAGATTCGGACAATGGTACTGTCTGCTTTGCGCACACGTTCCACGGTTCGTTGTACACCGTGCATTTGACTATGCTATAAAACAAAATGACGCGCGCAAAAATCAATTCGTGTCCGCATGGAACGGCTGTGCAATACGTCAGCAACACGTCAGATGCTTCTTCTGACAAAATTTTCATGACAGAGACAATTTACCCAATGGATTGCCACTACTGATTTTCGGCACTGTTTCTTTAAAAACAAAATGTTGACATACTTGGTTTTCTCGCTTTACAAGATGTGTTTTTGTTGAAGTCTATTTTCTAGAATCATCCGTGAGGTGTTGCTTTTTATGTATACTCTAATTTACCGGGCAAGATCGATAATCAAATATCCAAACTCTAACGATCCGACTTCCGTCATCCACATTGGGATGCGGAAATTTTGTCACGCTGTTTATCCAGCTCCTCGCCTCTCTGTTTCGATATAACTATAAATCATCACTAAAGATTTTGACGAGCTTGAACCCAGCTCTGTTGCACAGGCTCACATGCGCGCTTGCTTTACCTTCAATTACATGTATGCACAGACTGCGGATGGTACAGATGATCGTCGTGAGAGTTTCTGAGGACTGTAGAGTGATCCCGGTGAGCACAGTGAACCGATACCGGAAGGGGATGAGAATACACCACGAAAAAACCCACTAAACTAAGCGCAACCAATAATGAAATCGATGTAATTTTTAAAGCCACAAGTTGATCACTATATGTTCAAAGATCACTAATTATTGACGGAGAAAGCTTTCTAATACATCACTTCAGGATGATCAAACATGTTCATGGACAGGGGAAGATATGGATTGAAACTGATTGTACACTAGGGAACCAAAATAGATAAAAAATTCTCTCTGCTTAGAACTCTTCCGCAATGTATATATGTATCCTGGCCTGTACTGAACTTTGAATCCAGCCATCTTGCACGGAAGTCGTTTGTGCGTGTGTGTGTGTGTATGTGTGTATTGAAATTGGATCAAACGGGACTGAACGGAAATGCCTATTATGCGGATTTCGTCTTTAATGACAACCAATCAATCGATTCAACCCCAAAGCATTGAAGAATCACACATGGTAACTCGCTGAACGTCTAGAAAGCATAAGTTGTGACGCGCAATCGTTTTTCTCGTCTTCGGTTGTTGCATGATTCATGCCAGATTTTANTGTGAGGAGCATTCGTTCCTATAAACCGGAACTGGGAGAGTGAGTGAGTGAGATTGGTGGGAGGGGAATCTGATTTGATGTTCTGTATTAGGAATGCTAAGCAACAAGTTAAGATATGTGCCGATCTATTGAAGCCGTAGTATTATTAATGGGTTATGTAAGAATACTCTAAGAGATGGGAGCAGCTCAATACTTTGACCCATGCCTAAGATGTGTTTTGTAACTATGATGAAGCTGAATTTCCTGTGATGGTCTGTTGTTGTTGTTGCAATTGCGCATTGGATCGGCAAATGGGAACACTGGTTTGTTCTGTTCTCATATGTTGAGTCACTGAAGCTGAATGTACGCTGGCAAATTACGTGTGACGCGTTGTGATTGTTCTACTGTTCCAGGAGGCCTTGGTTCTTTAGTCGCTTGTCACAAGCGTAACTTAATCTCCCTCTCTCCCTTGGAATGTACACAATGGTGTATAAATCACATTGTGATTCGCTAAATCCCACAGATAACACGCAGTCGAAATTGACCATTTCGGCATCCTCTATTTTTCCCTGCCTATCGGAATAGCATGAGTCACAGCCACCGACAACTTGGGAAATGATTTGGCCACATCGGTGGGTAGGCTTTCACAATAACGGACACATTAACCGGAACAGACAGCAATCTGAACAAGGTTTGTGATTGTCCAACGAGGAAGTGGTCCAAATGCATGATAGTCTTGACCCGAGTGTTTGATCAGTGGGCGTCCTTGTTTGGTACCCGGTTACCAATGTGACCAATGGTTCGTGATGCTGGATGATATGACTAAGCATTTTGAACAATGGTGCTCGTACATTTTCTAGCAATCTAAATCATATCCCGTATATCACTATTATTATTACTATAGTAATAATTATTATTACTTTTATTAATGTTATTATTATCCTCCATGTTTCTCTCTGTATCGATCAATCAATAAGGTAACTCATAAACTGTGCATGGGATTAATGGATGTACAATCTAGAATCAAGCCAATGTGTTATAATTCCACGTGACCTGGCCAGTTAGCCAAATTTGTTTTTACTAGGGACAGTGATGAGACGAGTATCAGAACACAACGAATTGCATAGCACGAAACATCTCATCTGGACACAGGTCAGTCAGAAATGGGACAAGTACGCAGGACCGGGTGATGAACCGGTTTTCTTTAGTTACCATTGGAACACACTAATCTCACTCTGGGAGGCCTAGTTCATTTTGATCGTTGTGAGAATTTGTCATTCACATTATTGCGTGGTATCTGAACATACTACTTACAACTGTGAGTGGTATCCCATAACGTGTGCAGAGCCTCTGTATACCGCCGTATACGGTTCACATAGATAATTTCTGCCAGAGACTCATGTTGTCTCGTGAAAATGAATGAATGATTGGACGAACAGTATAAGATTATGTGAAGTTTCGGTTTGAGCAGTAGATGCAGTTTAGTGGTTACCGATTTCGGAAGAGAATATGGGGAAGGAATTTTGTTAGTAGAATCGAAGCATTGAGAGCGATTCAAAATGAAGTTGTGCGTTATTAAATAAATATATTCAATGAGAAGGAAGCGCAAGTGAGTGATTTTTAATCAACAGATCACTTTAAATGCCAGAATTCCGAAACATTTAGTTTGAATTGGTCGTGCTAAAGTGATGTGTTGCCGCCCATTCACTTTCACTTCTCCAATGTTTGCCCTCTTTTCAAATAGATTGACACTCTGGTTCATCGTTTACAACACGAAACGTTACCGTCGAGACCAGCGGGATCTGACGACAGGGATCGAAATCCACTAACCTGTTCGGAGGAGGAATTGCAACGAATTATTTCCAAATTCACTGAGTGTGATTATAGAAAGTGCCCCGTGGAATCGACACGTGATCGACAACACCTGGGATTCAATCGATACGACTATTACCACGGTCCATCGTATGCGCATCCAACAAAACAAGTGTCACCGGATGAGTTGCAAGCGATTATTGATCGTTTGATCCAGTACGATATTAACAAAGGTCCGCCGGGGTCACGTGGACATGAGCGATTGAAGTGATTGTGAAACAAGTGTAACCAAAATGGACATCTCTTAGACAAAATACTAGCATTGGTAAAGAAAAATTTTGAAATAATAATATTAATTATAATTTTTAGTTCATATGCTTTCAACTTAGGTGGGAAAATAATACATATTAGTTCATCAAGATTGATATGATCGATCCGAAGTTTTATCAAACTTTTCTTGGGATTTGCGTCATGGAAATGCAACTACAGTTTAGTGAAACCATAGTTGTAATTTCCTTGGATCGCACCGAACATAAATCTTATCTCGATCTGATCACCCGCTTGATTATTCGTAATCCCAGTTGAAATAACTAACATTTATTACACCTAACTACATTGTACTTTAACGTAAATCAACAGTTCGTGTAGATAAAAAACGAAGTAGAATCCACAGAGTTCACACGTAATAGTCCTATGTGTAATTGAATGTGCGTTGGATCCTAGTCACCCAAAACTGACGGGCCCGAATGGTGTATCGTTCCATAACTTATTCTACTGTGGTGATTCTATGACAGCGCTTTAGTAGCGTAGGATTTATAACCTACCCTCATTTGCAGGTCCGATTACCGCACGATCGATCGGATTCATTCATCGATCGACCGGACAGTTCATCGACAACAAGGAACGTGATACTTGCCCAACGAACTCGAACGTCTTGTTCACAACATCGAGTCTTTAGCATGTCCAATGAACTTTGGCTGTGCAGAGGAGAAGTGTCATCCGCACACGGCTGGATTAGAGGTGACAACAAGAATATCACAAAAATTACGGGGGCGGGGGGAGGAGGGAGTGATCAGATCGTCTTGTCTCTGGTTCAGTGAGTCCAAGTTACACAATCAACGGGAAATGGTCCAACCAGATAGCGCAAAGGGTCAGATGGAATTTAACTGTTTAAGGCGAGAGGGACAAGACAAGGTGAAACAATGGAGCAATCACGCTATGCACTCATTAGTTGGGTTCATAGATGCCTGACTGGGTTAGAGTGTCGAGGTGACAGGCGCGGTTAGTGCATGTATAATCAAATGGTCGGTGGCATTGCCGGAAATCCATGTCTGTAACACATGACTGACAAGGATTGCCACAGTGCACGTGCGTGTATTGTGTCACATGACTGAGTCAACGAATGTGAGGCATCCGATCGGGAAGCAGGTTGACTTTTGTTCGATGATTCACCAGGACCGCATTGTGTATCTTTGGATTTACACTCTCCATTCTGAGCTGACCTGCTCTGAACTTCCTTCATATTTAGTTCTTGATTTCTCGTCGAAAGCTACTTGTGCTTGTCCGTACGGTGATTTGTCGAACTAAACCGCCTCCTCCGTTAGGCCCGATTACCTTTAGGCCAATACTCCCTCCAGTTTTGGCAGATTTTTCCCAAATACATATAATTGTGTTATCTTGCATCCCAATGACGAGGAAACAGCGGTTCTTCTAACCATATGAAGATTGGATTGTCTTGTTCTAATCTGACATCAGCAATCACAATTAAAAAGTCCAGATAATTCAATCACGTGAGATGTTCAAGTACTGCTCGATTCATATGAATATTGCATAGTGGTCAAGTTTCATCCTCGGTCGAATTCTGTATTGCTGCTTTTTAGTCCGTTTGTGAACGTGGTAGCAAATAATAACCGGAGGAATGTGTTTCTCTTCCATTATCGATTTCCCTGTGATCCCATGCAGACTGACTTACTACTCTCGTTCAATATGAACTCCCACGAGAGAGAGAGAGAGACACGTGCCCGTGGTTCATATCTATTCGACCGGTCCTGTTCACTATTCCTCTTGATTTATCCGGTGCAGAAAAGATGCTTCCACTGATTAGGAGTGATAAGTTTTCTTCCGGATCAAATGAACGACTGTAGCCAGAACATCATTTGTCACTGTTATCCTTCCTTTTGTTCTAACCTCATTACACATGGGACAGTTGGAGACTGTCGGTGATGGGAAGGGGTGAGGCGGGGAGAGAGAGAGAGAGAGTAAAGAATACCAATCACAGCAAGTCAGAGAAAGGGAAACATTCATTCTAGGTTAACAATGGCCGCTGGCTCCTGAGAGAGGACAAGCTGGCTTCATGGATAGTTCATAAAATTTCTTGCGTGTTAGGTACGGGAAACGTCTCCAGCTTCAGCCGGATTTAGGTTGAAGTACCACCATCCCTAGCCTTTGTACATCCAAGTGGCTAAATGCATGGCAAGAAGAAGGTAGTGCATGGTTGCCGGTGGCCCTCTCGGAGAAGCGAGGGGGCTCATATGCCACTGACAATGTCTAACTAACAGGGGTCCATACATCCCTGGTGAGCACGAAGTCATTGCCTTCACCGTTGCGTCATGGAATTGAGCTCGTCCGCCCAACATGCTAGTATCCACATACATTCGTTAAACACCGACTAGCCAGGTTAACCTCAGTCTGGTTTGGCCCGCCTGTCGAGCGGTTTACCGTGATGAGGCTGCTGTCGCATCCAGATAGCTTCTTGGAAATACAGGTGGGAGTTCAGAACCTGATGGAGGTCAAAGAACGGATGATGCCTCACAGAGGCCGACAGCTCTCCGAGTCAGAGGTTTTACTCCTTCCCGGTACCGTATGCACCATACAATGGAAGTTGGATTGTTATCGAACCTGATGTACTTCAAATTTGAGCACCGCCTTTTCTAAATGCGAAGTGATCAGACTGGAGCTGAACAACATCAATACCTTACCATTGATTCAACTTCACTTGTCCACTTGTCTTTGGTGGTCAGTATAAGCATGTTGGCTTACGGATCAACAGACCAGTCAAATGATTAATTCACTGTTCATGAATGCGTCTATTGGGACACAAACTTCGTGCAGTTTTTCTCATTCATCACTTGACTATGCTCCTTTAGTAAATCAGGATTGCTCTGGGACCCACAAACAAAGATCAACACGATTCACGATCCTACCTAGATGCACAAACGAACCGTTACAGACTTTCATGTTCTGCCTGGACGTACGATCGATACAAGCGCCTGTTGATTCTTCCCCAGCAATAACGCGGCAGAGAGAGAGAGAGAGGTAGAACGCGACTGAGGAACAACAACCAGTGATCATTATGTAATGAGCAAATACAAATAGGTAAATTGTGTGTATGAGAACGTGTTGATGCACCAATCGCGTCTTTGACACTCCGATTGGTCGATCGGACGACAACCGTCGGATTTGTCCTATCCAGAATCGAATCCCCTTGGGCTTCCCGATCACGCATGTCGTGTGACGCGGATCCGTACACGAGTTCTGAGAGCTCCGTCCTAACACAGTAGAAAGGAATAATCCCTTAACAACTTTAATTTGTCCATTTCACCTCGATACCGAATAGTTAAGATAAAAT